TTCCAGCACTTCCCGCTGCGCTGCGTTTCATCAACGACCAAAGCATGCAATGGTGGACGATCTTCTGCGACTGCAAGGTAGAACGGCAGTCACTTGTGTCAAATCTATGCTGTGGTCTGCACGAGCAGTTGGTATTTGAGACGGCAGGAATACTACACCATATAAGAGAAAAAGGGCACCACGTTATATTTCAGTGGTTGCCAAGCCACTATGAAATTATCGGTAATGATTGGGCTGATCAAGCTGCCTGTCCAGCCTGCCCATACAGAATACAACGACCGATAATACCTTTCTCTAGGACAGACGCTCCTAGGAAGCTCCGCATGCTTGCTTGCCAATGCTCTGTGTCACTTTGGAATGAGCCTTTTTTTTACGCATGCAAGATTATGATCCCTTGACCCTACGTTAAACTTACGGATTGCAACAAAACTTCGACGAGGTGACGCTACTTGCTTTATGCAAACTGGTTGGGCGTCGCGTTTACCCTTGCGTACGTATTTTGGATAGGGATGGCCGACACCGCCGCCTGTGCACACTGCAGAGATGAAGAGACAATTCGACATGACCTCTGTGACTGCCTGGATTACAACCTAGAAAGATGATACCTTTCTCATACACTAAATAAGTTAGATGACCAGTCGCTCTCAGAAGAAAGTATGCTGTGCCATCATCATGACTCATCATCACAGAAGCCGTGCAAGCGCTACTGGACTTCTTGCGAACTACTGGCCTGTCGGAACGCCTCTAAGTTGATCGATTGTGTATGCGTGTGTGTCTGTCTTTTGCTCTTAATTTTTTTAAAGACGATTGTCTTTCTTGGGGACCTTCGACGCAATAATTTTTGTATGTATGTCTGTCTATACATTTGTCTATTTGTCCACTCTTAACGGCACTGGGTGTTTGAAACGGTCGACCCAATCGGGAGCGCCCACCAATGTTGCTCAAGGTTTAGCCTTCATACTTGTGCCATTGTCACTTAAAAAGCAATTATTGTGCATGTCTGGGGCATCATAACAACACGTATATATTTTGCATGTGCGTATTTTACTAGAAAAGTCATAAATAAGTAAACTTAAGGACCGTAGCGCTCATCATGCTGCGCTGACCATACAACACTTGCACAAAAAGGCAAGCGTTTCCAACGCTTTGCGAACACGAGACGGTGGTAACACCTACCCGTCGCCTTGCATTCTACACCTTATCACCTCTGAGACGGGCGCGCACACCCGTCCCAAAGCCACGCGCTTCGTTTTCCAAAAAAACTGCCAGATGGCGCTTATGTCTCATATGTGACGTGCCGATGCGTTCGTTCGCCTCTGCTTCACGCTCGAGGCACTCTAACGCAGAGCCTCCAGAATACCATTCACCGATTTTCTTGTGCAGACCATCAAATAAATGTTTTGTTCATTCTCTCCACACGCAAGACTATCGTCTTTCGACGATATTTGGAGATTACGATGCCGATGTGGGGCCAATTTTTCTTAAGTTTCTCTCTTTGAACACCCTATTCCCCAACCCTAGTGTAGGGTAGCATACCAGATACCAGCACCTAGTTAACCTCCCTGCCTTTCTTTCTTCTCATTTCTCTCTCTTTTTCAGCCAGTGAGAGGGAATGTGATACAAAAGGCCACTGTGTGAAAATGTGATCCGTCTTTTTGTTGTAAGACGGCTCGTAACCCAACATCCGAAGCATCTGTAGTGACTATGACAGCTGGCTTAAGGTTGAATATCTGCACAATAGGTTTGCAGGCCAATCGCTCTTCCAACTGATGAAAACTCTTCTGAGCTTCAGCTGTCCATTCGAATGTATGACATCGTCGGAGCATTTTGCTCAGTGATTTCACTAAATCGGCATAATGATGTAAAAACTTGGCCTGGTAGCCAGGCACTCCTTGGAATGACTAAAGGGACTTCATGTTCTCTGGTGTAGGTGCACGAACTATCACTTTAATTTTCGATTTCATCGTAGAGAGATTTTCTGTGAAAATGGTGTGACCCTGAAATGTACTTTCCCTGCAAAAGCACCGTTGAAAGAAGGACGAAGTGCCGTCCGCATGTCGAAGCTCACCGTTGATTTCTTCTTTATTCGAACATACCGAAAACTCAGTCCACTCGTCCTGCCTCGACCCCACTACCCTTCTTCATCTTCATGTCGGCGCCCCACACAATTTTCAACAAACACAATTATGATTTGATTTCATCCCTGTTTCATAAATGCATGGCAGCACTTCCTTTATGTTGAGGTCATGATCCGGCTCGGCGCTAGCCACTTTCCTATCTAAAATGCGATGTAACCCTGATAATGCGAATGTCGTTCGTGACTGGAATGTACCAGGGGCAGGACGATAGGGGGGCGCAAGGATGGAACGCAATATAGATGAAGATTATATTTGTGGGACCAAAAGGCGCCCTTTTCACTCTATCTTTTCTTAGAGTGTTCTTTGTGTCACCCTATGATATCTCCTTGTGGTACAAATGTAAGGAAAAACACTTAAGGAAATTCAACTCAAGATTTGAGCATGATGGGAGGTAGCGATTGAGCAACCTTGAAAAAAGTCTAGAAGATTTCAACACAAGAGTAAAAATCAAAATGTAGCAGAATCCTACTTTTGCTAAAAAAAATTGAGGTACTAAAGTATTCAGACTAAGCATGGACAGCTGACTGTTAAAACATGAGATAAATATTGAAGAATTGGAAACCAGGTTGAGAGGTAGCAGTCTACTATAGAGGTTAAGGTAGTCAATGAGGCTGAAAATGGAAATTTCAAAAGGGGGTGGCACCGTCAAATTTGTAACTTGTTTGTGTTTCGGCACACATTATTCTTATTGCACTCAGAACGTGCTATCCACTTCAAGATTTATAGTATCGCTAAAATAATTTGTTGCCACCTTATTTATTCATACAACTTTTTGGTTTAGATTTCCGGATGCAGATTTGAACAGTCACGTCACTGTGTAGGAAGCTTGAACATATGGGCTCACAAAACTCTGACACATGTAGTGCCTCATCGTATGCTTTTATGCACACTTGCAAGCAATTCTCTTGATGCCTTAACAACTTCCTTAGCTTCTTTCATCGAGGATATCCATATTCTTTCATCAATTTTTGTAATCGCTGCGTTACACTGTTTAGTAATTCCTAGCGCAATCCGCACTTGCAGTGTTTGAAAAGCTTGAGGATTGCAGTGGATTATTTTGTTAAGATTACGCGCAGAACGCGAACATAACAGATTACTGTTGAACCTACGTGGCCTCTAGGGATAGCACTGGAATATTCAATGCACATGTCTAAATGCCGATGCGCATCAGCGTTGGTCAGTTGATCAACGGTCGACGCTCTCTTTGTTGGTACCAGTGTCAGTGTATATCGGCGTAATCTAACTTTTCGTTTACCGGCCACAAGTTCGGCCAAATAAATAGTTTCAGTTTGGACAAGCCTTCGTCAGCGTCACGACCCAGTGACAATATTCGCAAGTACAGTATCTCTGTATTCACAGAGATTCTCTCCAAAGCACCTAATTATAAAACGGTGTTATGAAAAATCTTACGATGTTTTGTGCAATCGTGAGTATAGGGGCATATATTTGTTTTCACTGTGTGGCCATAGTGGAAAAAAAAAGGTTTGAAATGGCTGCACTGTCGAAGGTATCGTTACCGAAAATTCACACCAGCAGAAAAATAAAATTAATCAGATTTCTGTAACCACAAAATCGGTGCTGCTCTGTTTATTCAGCCACCAATTCGTCTCTCATGAAAGTTTCCATCTCGGTGTTCAGCGCTGCTGACTATGGCCGGTTTTAATCAACTATAGAGGGCATGAAGCTCTGAGAACTCTTACTTTTGGGATTGGATGACCTATTTCGCTCCATTCACAAGCCTTTTACTCTAAGATTAATGACAAGCATGCTTTTTCTTGACGCGCTCCATGACGGTCTGGTTGCAGGACGACATGCCAGACCGAAGCGACAGCTCGTGGGATGAAGACCGACTTCCATAGTCTTCGTGATCAAAACAAAGCAATGTTTAAAATTTTTTCTGCAGTCTGTATTGGTGCACTGCCCAATATTGTTCCAATATGGCGGCCTTAGAACTGTTCAAACCCATCAAGTTTCTGCTCCTCATTGGCTTTCAGTCCATGCTACACACAATTCCAACTGCATTTCATTGGAATCATGCACCATTCTTCCGCTGCCACTTTGAATTTCATTTGTGACCGAGGAAGGGCGCCCTCTAAAAATCACGTCCGGTTATCTTTCACCGTAAGGAAGGGATGCGCTGGATCGGGACTTTACAGCATATATAAATACGAAAATATTCTTTCAAGTATTTCCAGGACTACAGAGGCCAATAAGTGATTTTCATCGTTATCTTCAATTTAAGTGAAGTAGATTCAGATGAGCATTTTCCAGAATAGGGTAATATTTTTATAGGATGATATTTTGTGAAACTTCATACAGAAGTATATAATTGGTTTGAGTTATGACACCTAGTGCAAACAAAACACGGACGAGAGGACAAAATGGCGACAGAACAGCTATGTTAGTGCTTTAAACGATTCAGTCCTTCCGTCGTCATTTTCTCATTTCATCCGTGTTTTGTTTACGCCAGACGTCATGACCATTTTCCAACTTGCCTAATTTGGGACTGTCTGATTGGTTTGTATTCTTGAGCAACATTGGCAGTGTTGGATGTAGCATTGGAAATAGATAAGATTAGGCAAATATACATAAGTATAATTGATTTTTTTATATCCTTTAAAAGATGTTTAAGAAGCGTGCATTCTAATGATTGCGATATGTTCCTATTTTTGTGTGTACACGTCAGTAACTTGTCTTATCGTGCACTATTTCACATTCCTTGATGGTTGCTATCTGGAGGCACAACCATTCTACACTTGTCAAAACCAAATCATTGTAGCGAAAAAGATCAGGCTTTCATTTCTTTTCTCAGAATAATATTTTGCAGTATCAATACCAACAAGATATGCAAATTTATTTCAGGATGACTTCACAGCAGAACCGGTACATGGAGCAGCACCAGGTGTGGTTTGTGATTTGGGACAAGCTGTGGAAACATCACCAGAGCCAGCGTGTGAAACGAACAATGGTTCAAGTGCAGCTAAAGTGCAGAGAAATCGTGCAGAGAAATCAAGTGCAGAGAAATCGGTTCATGTGCAGCTAATTATGTGCCACGAAGGATCCCAAACGGATGAAAAGAAAATTCTATCAACAATTGCTGTGCAAACAGAACCATACGCTTTTTCTTCAGGTATGTATTCGCATTTGCCCTCAGATTTTTTGGAGAACTTGGTTTGGCCGCAAAGCTGCCATAGTGGCATTTCAGAATGTTAAATGAAATTACGGGTCTGACTAGTTATGGTCCTTCAGAATGCTGACTTAAAGGAACGCTGTTGCCACAGTGAGCAAAGAAATTTTAGTGTTGTCTGTTTCTTCAGTGCAATGTGATTGGTGAGAGCGCAGCAAGTACAGTGCGAGCAAAGGTATGAAACACCTGTTGATCTATTTCGAGACAGCGTACTACCACGCCTATTTATTAACTGTTTACAGCTGTAGTCCAAGGAAGTCACCCCCTGTGTGACCCTATTTGACGTGCTTTCGTGTGAGGGAGATGGACAGCATATTTAATCTTTCTTGATTGGCAACCGTGCCCAGTCTTGCAGGCTTTCACTGAGCTATAGAAGGTACGATGCGCTAGACGACCATGTTCACTCAGGCTTTCTGTGGAAGCTGATAGTGGTCGTGGGTGCTGTCCTTAAGGCATCGATTATGCGTGCTTGGCCAGTGCTTTGTAGGGTTGATGTGCGAGTTTCAGTTCGCTGTGGATGTCCATGCAAATTGTGGCAAGTGATGTTGCATTGTGGGCTACGCACGATCCCCATGTAAATACCACGGCAGTCACTCAACACACCCAGCCTCCTTAGGGAAACAGCTTTCAAAATCTTTGCCGGGTTCCCTCCTACTTACTGATCAATGGTTGTAAGCTCGACGTGCCAAACGGCCACCGCATACACAACTAAAAGCCAACAAATGGGATTGTAGAACAAAAAAGTATTGACTTTAAATGCCCAATCCAGGCTTTTGGCAACACTGCCTGGTACCCCTTCAAAGCGAGACAGCTCCTTAAGAAACATTTTCCTCCGCGCCGCCTCGCTGGAGCGCCGCGACACCCGTCTCTCGCAGTAGAAAGACTACAACAGGCAGTCCCACCACAGCCGCTCATGCCTTCGACGCCTGATTAGTGACGGTTGGTCAAAAAAAAGAGAGAGAGAGATAGAGCTGCTGCGACACGCAAGCTTAGCCAGCCACCATCGACAATAAAGGGACCACCACCCTAACTACATTGAACGCAACACTTCTAAGAAAATACACATTCGCGATGCCACTCGCATAGCACAGTGAACGCTGGAATTTTTTCTAAATTTTCTTCCTCTTTTCTGCCTTTTTTTCTTTTTTTCTGTCTTAGCCGTTCTTTCTCTGTAATCTTTTTTGCTCAAGGTGTTATAAATGTGAGCGCAAACAGAATGTACCTACATGCCTGATAAAGACAATACTCTGACCAAAACTGTCAAAATAAACACTTCCGTTGTTACCGTTCTCATGGAGGATCTATTTCACTATTTGCAATACTACAGCCATATATATATATATATATATATAGGCAGGCATGGTGGTTGAGTGGCCGTAGCGTTGCATATAGTCAAGAATATCCTCCGTGAGCGGTCACAACATGGTTTATTTCGATGTTTCGGCCTAGAGTCTGGCCTTCCCAGGATTGAAGGTACAGTTTGTTGGTGCTCAGCTTTATACAATCTCAAAATCTCAAATCAGAGGGAAAGAAGGAATAAAGACAGAAAAAAAGAAAAGGAAAGAAAAAAAAAGAGAAAAAGAGTGTAACGTGGACTCCCCCCCCCCCCCAGTTGCCCCCTTCCACTCTTCCTTCCACTTTCCCTTCCATCTCTCTCCCCTTTCACCTTTCTGATGTCAGCGGTCTGTGTATGCTTCCTTTCACTAACACATTCTTCCCGATTAGACGGCGCCTCCTGGCTCTAGAGTTCGATGTGGGGCAAAAAGAGCGTTTTTAAGAAGTTTAAGCCTTTAGCTACTCAGCGCCCCATCGACATTTCGTAGTAGAAAGAGGGGTGTCACGTATTGCGGCAGAGGCTGGTAAGCGAGCGCAATGCGAATTCCTTGTTGGCTTCTGGATTACGCGCACAGTAGGGGCCTCCCGACTGTGCACATGGTTGCTGTTGAACATGTCATGCTTGGCACAATTGATTGGGTAGTAAAGTAAAAACAGAAAACAGACGACAGCTTTACTTAGGAATAGTAGTTACACTTGGAATTGTTTTGAGATGTCCAGTGCCCTTCGCAGCTGCAGTGCCGTGAACTCAGTTACTATTTTCATTATTGCCGTTATTGTTTTCTAATGCTTCAATTGCTGCAAGTGTACTAGGATTCTCATTTATCCCTCTATCGGGGGTGTTAAATCGGTGGATAAGGTATGACTCTCGTTCACATTCTCGGTTTGATTTAAATCCCTTCTCTAAGAGCGGTACTGATAGTTTGTCTAATTCATGGTCGGGAAGATTAAGATGTTTTGATGGGGGTAGATTTGGGACTGATTTCACATGGGCTCCATGATTATTGAAGCGAATCCTAAATGGTGTTTCTGAGTAGGTATACCACATTAGAGGAATCGCATGTTAGGTATTCTCGTATGTTAATCGAAAACTTGGATTGTGTGCTGGTTGCTTTGTGTGTTTCTCGCATCGCCTTACATACTAGACATCAAGACTTTAAACAAGGTCGGCATGAATTATTGGGGCGTGAGGTATTGATTTGAGAGTGGACAAGTGTGTCTTTGAGGTTGCGTGGTCGTCAGTAAACGACGCCTGGAGCGGATGGGAACGCGTGTTTCAGAGGTGCAATTTGTTCCCAGAATGTTGTAACAACATTCTACGACATTGCAGGAAGAGCTGTGGAATTGGTCTCTAGCGGGCGGCCTTAACTAAGTCGCGGTGGTCAATTGTGCATACGCCAGGACGTGCCCTGTTGTACTCTCAAACATTCTGGTGGGCGACTGTGTTGGGGTAGTCAAAGCAAGTCTCGTCCATGCTGTGAACGAACGTTGTCACTGTAGAGTACGAGGCACACACTGAGCGGATACTTCTGCACGTCCTTCGCGCGTCCAGGGGTTACGAGGTGTCCCATTTGACATGTGCGGCATCACAGGGCAAAGTTGATGTATTGTCTCGTGAGGCAGGTCGTGACCTTGCGGAATTGCTGATGTCGTACTGCTGGTGGCTTCTGAAAAAGTGTGATATGCAGTCAAGTGGTCTAGGTCAGAAGCCTTATAGTCAGGTGCAACCGTGGTTTGTACAAGCAGGTCTTGTCTGATAATATCCTCAGGCACTATAGCCACTTTGGAATGGAAAGGCAAGCATCAGCACGCTCGGCCAATGACTGCACTGATGACCGGAAACGATGCAGCATCGAGATGTGCATCAAACCGGCAGTGGTGGTCAGTGCCTCGTCTCCAGCTGGATTGGAGGTAGCTGTATTGTTATTAAGCAGAACGACGCGTCCAGGCACTCCAGTGATGGCTAGCTTAGAAGTCGACTGACAGGCGGCTGTAACTGGGAAACGATCTTGGTTCCTGTCAAGGGTGGCTCTGTAACATGTGTCAACAGGGAAGCTGACTCTTGTATGGAGGAGTATGCCTGGCGGCTAGTGTCCACGCCTGCTGCAGGGTGATCTGCATAGTTGTTCCTGGAGCCCCTACAAGGCACAATTGTACCGAAAGGGCGTTCTGTCTCGCGAGCTTGATCCCCAAGGCAGGGCAGGTTGGTGGGCGCCCGAACTGCACCGCCTGAAGTTGTGTGTTGCACCGCCTTGATCCACGGTTTAGTCAGATTCGGAGGCATCAAAAAGTTGGCCAAATACGTTACTCAACCTGGAACACCATTTAGGCCATGAAGGTTGTTTCGTACTTTCGCCTGCCGTGGTGGTCTAATGGCTAAGGTACTTGGCTGCTGACTCGCAGGTCACAGGATCGAATCCCGGCGGCGGCGGCTGCATTTTTGATGGAGGCGGAAAGGCTGTAGACCTGTGTGCTCAGATTCGGTTGCATGTTAAAGAACCCCACGTGGTTGAAATTTCCGGAGCCCTCCATTACGACATCACCTATAATCATACGATGGTTATGGAACTCCACATATCGATCAATTTTTTCACACCTTCATAGTTGTTCCAGGCTTTGGCAGCATCACGAAGGTGATCGATGGCCTTCGAGACCGACGGAAAATGGCTACGAGCCATTTTTGATGGTCCGGTCAGGCGTAACGGCTGCCGAGAGCGCTTACCATTGCAACCTACCGAACGGCGTCGTCCTGGAGTTGTCAGAATTCTGCTACATCCGATACAATCACTGCTGGTAACGTGGAGTACAAGTATCCGGTAATTTGTAAGGCGTAACGGTCCAGCTCCTGAGCAAGCAAGGGCATCGCTCACGGAACTTTCGTGGGCAGGATGGGCTAGGAGCCTGAAAATCTAATACTGATGGCCGCGGAAGATATGGGATCCATGCTACTCGCAGTGGTGGTTGAGATACCGCAGTTCGAAGGCATCAAGCTATTCAGTCGCTGGGACAAGCGTGCGGCTTCCCGGATGATCCACCCAGCATTGTAGGACCAGTTGCCTGGGTAACCATTGGCGGCGTTCGAAGAATATGCTGTTGCTGCAGCAATGAGTGCGGCGATGTCCGAGATCATGTGAGCGTGGTCAACTCGTTGATTGGAAGCGTCGATACAATACTGTTGTGCCACCAAGCTGGTTTGTATGCCTTCCTTGGAGTGTGCTTGTAACAGCAGCAGGCAAGCGGGCACCTAGAAGGCCTGGACACCGGCCCAGAACTGGGCTTTCTGTGGCAGGATTGTGGATGTCATGGCCCAAGAAGCGTGGACGGCGCTTCTGGAGTGGTGGGTCTGCAATGCCGAAGATGCTGAAGCACAGGTGGCTTTGTTTATGACGACTACACCATTGTAAAGGAATGAGATGAAGAGACAACGCCTTTGCTGCAGGCCGACTGTTCTTTACCTGCCTCGTCCTTCTCGTCTTTTTAGTCTGTGCGTGCGTACGTGTGTGTGTGTGTGTGTCTGTGTGTGTGTGAAGGCAGTGACTGATGGTAGAGGCTGATGAAGTGAAAAAGGAATAAACATGGGGTATGAGCCAGGCCGCGTCTACCAGATC